GCCAAGAGGTGCTGGTCACATCAGTCCTTAACTGTAGCAATATCTGTTTTATTTCTGGGGTTCATTCAGAAAAGTAACAACTCTCATCTACATCATCATCATCATCATCGTCTTCATCATCATCCTCTATTGTTATTGATGTTGCTGTTGTAACACTTCAAAGCTCCAACTGAGAATCAGAACTCTTGTTCTTATAAGTACGGAATACATATATTATTAAAAACACAGCCTATGCCCTATAAAACTTATAGTCTAAACAAATTTTCATGGGAATCAAATAACCTGGAACTTCAAAGTTTTTTACGCTTCTGCATTGGTATAGATTTGACCCCTTATCTCTAGGCATGAATGGCTGTGGCCACTTACTGTAGCCATGACACCAAGTCTGGGCAAATTTGCTTAATAGGGAAACATACAGTATTTTTCATTGACTTAAATTAGTCTAGGGCACAGTCACACGTATCTGTAAGTATTATCATTTGAACCTATTGATTTCTACTGAATTCCCATAACCAGTGCAGTGCTTCCATTTAATTCTATATTCTATTAACCCTGGGTTTTCATTGTAGTATCTGTTCATCTTCTTATAATATTTAGAGAAATGACTCCTTATTCAAGAGACAATAGAATTGAAAGAGCTGTTGGTTAATTAAGGAGCCTTTCCTTTCATAATCTTAGCAACATGCCCACAGTTCAAAGATCATTCTACTTGTTGAGATAGCTGCCAAAATTATGGTGTGTCAGAACATTTTAGCATAAAATACAGTTCTGATCAAACACTTTGCCCTTCTACAGCATCTTTCATTCAAGAATCTCACAATGCTTTGCAAGCATTAGTGAATTAATTTGCACAGCCCCATTTACTTTCTACATTTACAGATAGGGAAAAGGAAGCACAAATCCAAACCAGTTCATCCAAGATCTCCTATAACACTGGCAGAACCAAGAACAGAACTGAAATCTCTTACATTTTACTACTTGACTTTAAATACTAACCTATGCTTTCTCTCTTGCAACACTCAGCATAGCAGCCACAACATTTTATTCTTTCCACTCTTAAACCAGCTGCTTTCTAAGTGCATTTTCAGATGAAGGTAGGAGGAGACACTAATAAAGGCCAGATTGGAAAATGACTTTAGTGAAACTACTTGTGCTGAGTAATGGCTCTCAACCTGTTGAGTGAAGAGGCTACAATATGGACCTATGTGGTAAGTTTGTAAATAAGTTCACTCAGTGACAAGACCTGAGACAGTAAACTAAGGAAATACCAAAATAAGCAAACCTGAGGTCAGATTTTCAAAATCACCCAAACACTATAGGAACCTGGCTCTTTTTTGAAAGTCATTGAGAAGCAGGTCCCTCATTGTAAAAGTCACTACTGAACATGGGCCCTAGACTTCCTAAGTCACCTAGGAGGTTTTGAACATTGCATTTATATCAAATAAATCATATACTGTGGATTTTGTTTTGCAGATGGATGGATTTGATAAATTGATCTTTTCCACACCTAATTATTCTGATTTTTTGGGGCCTTAGAGAAGTTGGAGTTTATTCAAACAGTGTTCTCTCTGCAAGGGGAAAGGAAAAGGAAAGAGGTGAAGCTCATGTGTCTTTATCACATGTGAATTTTTCATCCATGCAATGCAGTTCTGGACAAAGTACATGTCTCTGAACTCTTGCCCCATGATTCCAGAATGGGTCGGGACAAAGGAGGAAGTACTCAGCACGGCTAACTGGGAAAAAAAATGTGCCAGAATCTTTGAAGATCTCTGTTCTGAGAAAGTATGCTGCTGTGAGTGCCAAGCATCTCCATTCCCATAAGCATGGAGAGTGCTCCTTATTTCATAGAAATAATCTCCTGTATGACATTGACATTCATGGCATGTCTTAGGCCATGAACTTCTGGTCTTCCTCGTTAAAGAAAGCAATGAGAAGTAAATAAGTGGAGCAACTCTTTTCTATCATTCTTTTCTCTCTCCCACCCTCTCTCTTTCTTGTCAGCAAGGGACTGAACTGGATGACCTTGCAAGGTCTGTTCCAGCCTGCTTCCTATTTTTGCATGACAGAAAGCCAGGCTGTTGCCCAGCTAGGCACTAAGAACACCACATCTAGAACTACTGTTTGAATCCTGTGGGAGGAACAACTGTTGATGTTTCACAACCAGAGAGTAAAATTCCCTGCATCAGTGAGTTGTAGCTTTTGGAACCTCCTATCTCTCCCCTCATAAAAGAACATAGAAATGCAGAAGCTTGAAGTCAAATAATGAAATGCAATAGAGAATTAGTCTTAGTGACCTCTAACGGGAGTAGCTGGTGTTAGTACTTTGCAAAATCAAGTTCTAGGTGGTTGGATGCATGTAGAACCAAAGGACTCATAGCTTATCCTGCACTTAATTATTGTTGCCAGTTTATTTAAAACAATAATAAAAAAATATTGCCACAGTTGGCACAGTAAGATAGGACAGATGAGAAGGAAAAACCTTGATATGGGTTTGTTTTTTTAATGAAAGCAAAATGAATAGAAGTTTTCCCCAAAGAAATGGTGGAAGCGTCATCTTTTGAGACTTTGAAAGTAGTCTGGATAAAGCATTGGCTCCAAGACAGAATTAAAAAGTTGCAATTATTTGATTCTATGAATGAAGCAATAATAATTAATAAATATTCTATATACTTTGCTTGCTGGAGTTGTTTTTTTTCTTACCTGCGCAGGATGGGTAAAACAGCGGACTATGCAAAACAGGACCAAAACCAGTGTCAAAAGAAAGAAAGAAATCAAAATACAGACTATCCAATAGCATCTACAGTTCTTTTCTTTGGGACTCTTCTTCTCCAGGCAATTTGTTGTTTCCATGTTGCTTCTTGGAGTTGAGACAACTGAAAACAGAATAGGAGTAGCAGAATTTAAAAGGAAAAAAAACGACTATCAGAATTCCTGAGCTCCTCACACCAAGAATGAGCCAGCCCTGAGCAATGGAAAGCAGTATATGCTGGTGCTTTCCCTGACTAAAAGTGGGAGGAGCTCACATAGTGTTTCATGACTATTTATCTGCTAAAAAAATAATCAGCCAGTATTTCCCCATGAAACTGAAGTTCAGAGCGGAACTCTCATTTGGCTTGGTGCCTGAATCTGAAGCTCTGAAATGAAACTCCAGCACCACTGTGCTGTAAAAAAAAACAAAACAAAAAAAACCCTAGATCTGAGTTTACAAACCTCTTCAGCAGCCCAAGATGAAGAGCCCCGAGGCATGACGTGCATCAGTTCCAGCACTGACAACAGGCTGAACGTAACCTGATAGCTTTTTTTTTATTAGGAACATTTGTTTCCTATGACAGTGAGTGCTGGTATCTGGATTGAAACTGTTTCACACCTTCAGCATGAAAAAAATGAATGGCATTAACTGAAGGTGGGTTTCTAATCCTCTAAGGCAGTGTTTCCCAACCTTTTCCAGCCCAAGACACAGTTACTTAAATAAAAATTTCCGATGGCACACCTGTTAAGGCATTCCCCATCTCCATGCTTATGAGCTTATTGTAGCTCATTGCCACGGCAAAATTCTGCAGCAAAACCTGTTCATTTCTGATGGCATCCCATTGTTCCACAGCACACGGTTGGGAAACACTCCTTGAAAAAATTTGTGATTTATAAAGTAAAAGTGAAACTAGGTGGAAAGTCCATAGAAAAGAATGAGAACCTCCTTTCCAAAATCAATTAACAAAACTACATCTAAAAAGTTTGGGCATCCTTTTACTGGCGCTATAAAAAATGTATTTGTACTTGAAAGTGGAGACTTAACATATGCAGTTACCTGCTCTGACTTGCACAGTGGAGATGGTTAAAAGGGGGAAAACCAGAAAGTACCAAAACATTTTGAAATATGTAACTGGCTTTCAATTTGCAAAGATCAAAACTGATTTATTTTCCTGATTGCTCATAATATATTTTTCCATTTCAAAAACTTTTACATTTTCAAACATATTTTTGAATATTTTTTTATTTGAAGATAAAAGCGGAAATCATATTTTATGCATTTTTTCCAAAGGCAAAAGTAAGGGTGTGGGGCATGGAGAGATGGAAGGAAAACAAGGAGATAGAAAATAAGAAAAGAAAAATTAGCAACTGAAAAACAAAATGGGAATAATTTAAATAGTTAATCAAGATGATAAATTTTCACTTATATTTTTAAAAGCTTTTGACTTCCTTATAAGTAGAGGGAGGCATTTTTAAAAATATTTTCTTTATTTAAAAAAGACATTTTGGCAGAAAAATAATTAAAAAAATTAACCAAGTCCATTGCATCCATCTTCCCAACTAAGAAATAGGTGGACAGATTTTGCTTACAAGTTTTAGGCATCTATGCCTGCTATTTTCCCCCTGTGCTGCAGAAGTCTATGTTCCAGCTGCACCAATTTTCCAGCTGGAAATGCAGCAAAATTTCTGTATTTTGCATTGGTCTGGAGATGCGTTATAGATCACACAAATTTGCAGGTAAAAACAAAGAAATATTAAAGATGCTGCATTTAAAGGCCACTTAGCAATTCTCCTGCTTTTCACAAAATTTTCTTTGTAAGTGCAATTTCTGTTCCTGTTAAGGTCCTTAATGCTGCCAGAGATGGATTAAGCAGGTTACTGTAACTGAGAATCGCACTTGTTCATTCCTTTTGACAAGTACAGTTTGGTTTACAATGAAGTCCCAGACTCATTAGTCAATAGCAGAACTCCTATCAACTTCAGTGAGGCCAGGATTTCACCCTTAGATGCTTTTGAAAATCCCACCCAGAGATCTTAAGAACGTGTTTAAAGATAACTAAATTGTTAAGGGTTTTCCTGAATTGGAATGAAGGTCCCAGCCCTCTGAAGATTTAC